TTTAACCTAACCTTTTCTCAACCAAATGAAATGCTTTTTGGGAGATAATTTATAAACATAAACACCATCATATAACATTTTGGCATCAAAATAACCACAAAATATGAAATTAAAATGAGCGAATCAACCAGCAAAATTTTGGACAGCATGCTTCTTCCTTTCTTCCAGTTTTCTTTTCAACTTTCCAAACCAAACTAAGTCACAATTCATCAAAACAAACATCAAACAACCAACTAAACACACAATAATTTCTCAAGGCCACTACCTAAGAAGCCACCTCAAGACATCTATCTAAAATCAAGGTTCAAAGAACCCATCAATAACCCAATGCTTAACTAGTTAAAACTAACCAAGATCTAGTTAAGAGCTGAAAGAAAATGAGGGCTTTGAGGAGTTTTTACCTTCTTCAAGAGTAGAGAGCGAGACCACAAGGAAACCAACTCCAACCACCAAGAGTCTTCCTCCTCTAAGTCCCTTTCTAAGCTGGAGTGAAGAACCAAGAAGATGAGCAAGATTCAAGTGAGTTTTGGGAGCAAAAAGGAAGAGAAGGAAGCTGAAATTTTTTGGCTAAAATGGCAAGGGAAGGGCCGGCCAAGAGGAGAAGGAAATTTGGGACTTCCTTGGCTAATTTGGAGGATGATGTGCACGGCTAAGGAGAAAAGAAAGAAAGGAAATGGAATTGTTTGGTCAATTTTCTTTTACTTAAAGGCTTAGGGTAGACCAAGTCAAGGTCAAAGTTCCATAAATGTGTGACAATTGTCCTTCCAAAAATTAATCCCCATCCTATTATCTTCTAATCACTAAAATATCTAACCAATCCCTAATTATCTCTTAACACCTTATAAAATAATATTCTTTTGTACGAAACTCCCTTTTAACTTTCAAAAATTTATTGCACTTATCGCATTAACGGATTGCACTTCCAAAATGCACTTCAAACTTAACATGCACTAACTTATACATTGAAAATGATTTAAAACGTGATTCACTTGTAAAAATATTTAGAATATTAAGACAATAAAGTAAGGTATAGAAAATATATTCAAAAAAAAATAAAAATAAAATAAAGAAATTTTCGGGTCCTCACATCACGCCTATACTGGTAACCTCTGTAGGGAAAACCAAAACTAATAGAGTGAACCAAACCTCAGCGAGGTTTCAAAACTTCATGCAGACCCAAGTAGCAAGTTGGTCATTATGTAAAACTTGAAATCTCAAAATGAGTGAGTGTAAAAGTTCATAAAACAAACAATAACATTACAAGTAACAATCATTTCCAATTATAAGGATACAGATAGCTCTCAAGAGCCAAATTCCCATTGCATTAATTGATCTGAACCTGTTGACACTCCGTCAATGTTTAAAGTAGCAAAACCATGACCGTAGATCTCCACTTTACACTAATTTTCATCCACCAATCAACCCCTTTACCGGGTCCGAACTCCAAACTAAGAGTGATGGTAATACTCGGGTATACCGAATCCAGTGGACCATATCCAAAAGATTATACAATAAACAATAAACAATAAACAGTACCTATGGTTTGCCAGTCTCCTCGACCAAGCCTTTACTGGCTTGATTCGATTGACTAACCAATAGGGTGAGGATAAAAGTAGTGAGACGGGATGAGAGGCACCTCCCACTCGGATTAAGTGTGGTACATGCACCGCTCAGTGCTTACAAGTCAAGTACAAGTACAGGCTAATCAAACTCAAGCAAGTATGAGATCATTCAAGTAGGGGAGGACGAGTGCGATAAAGTACACCCTCACCTCATCCAAACAAGTCAAGTAGTATTCAATCACATTAGCAAATCATTTCATTCAAAGATCAAGTCCAATCATGCATTGGAAAACACTCACCAATGAGTTATTGCTTTTCAAAACCACGCTCTAGTTCAACTCCTTGGCTGGAGTCCAAATCATCGATAAAATACCGTTTAACAGTTTGCAATCAATTAGGGTTCAAAATATAGGGGTTTCACTTAAAGAAAATCAAATAAATGAAACTCATTGAAGTAGTATTCATTTGATCGCGCCTCATTTTTTAATAAGAAAAATAAATTGGTTAAAAAAGTGAATTTTTATTTGAAAAAAAAATGAATTTTGATTTACAAAGAAAATGAAGAAAAATATGGGTCTAAATGGGACTTGAAAATGCGACGATTTGACCTAAAATATAGTTTAAAAAGGGTTTTTGAAATAAAAATCGGAGTCGCCACTTGGTATAGAGTTAAAGTGTACCAAGTCACCTAAAAATGAATTTTTAGAGGAAAAGGTAGAAAGAAACCCCTTTTAAACGACTCCTAATCTACGTAAACCAACGAAAAAGGTTTGGGAGTCACATTTGACGGAGGAGAAGGCAAGGATAAAAATCCAAGGCACCCCTTCGACCTAGCCAATGCTAGTTGCGTGATTTAGTCAAAGATTTTCTTGTTTTAACCAAAGAATTTATCACATTTTGGATGTACTATATGAATGCAAACCATAGACCTAGGGGGCATCGGGGGGCAAAATTTTTCTTCAACGCTTGAATGGTGCCAATCACATTAATTGTGATGCCCAGTAATGACTCTTTCGAGAGGTCACGAATAATGCAAAAATATGGGACTCTAAGAAAAGGAAAAGGGTAAAGTAATTATAGCAATATGTATGTCTTAAAGGGATGCATCATGTCGGGTACGGGGGACTAATGTTCGTGACTCAATTTTCCCTTTTAATAGAGGGAATACGAGCGTGCTAAGGCTAGAAAAGCCAAACTCGTCCATATCCCAAATCCAAGGGGTTTTTCCTAGTCTAATCAGGCAAATGTACTAACTTAGTCCTAATACTTAGATGAAATGCAAGTCTAATGTCATGTTTCATACAAAGGGGTAAGTAATATATACGGGAAAATATGGGGAAGGGATATACGTATAATGAGGGATGTCATGCAAAAAATGATAAAAGACCCTAAAAAGTGAAAAATATGCATGAGATGTAATGTAATCATACAAACATGATCTAGCATCGAAGGTCCCTAAGGGTCTAGCATTGGACTAGCCCATATCTAACGCTCTCTCACAAGCATTGGACTTGTGAGGGCGCGAGGGGAAGACCACGACTAGCATTGGACTAGCCATGATTACGTGCATTTGCATCCATCATACACATATATAAGTAATGTGCATAATTAAAGCAAGTAGACATATGAGCACGTAATTCACATAACACATAAGCATGCATATCTAGATGCAAAGCCCTAATAAAGCGGTAACACATAGCACGTAAGCATGCAAATCACACAAGCAAATAAGCAAACAAGCCCTAATTATTACATTGGGGGTAACCCTACTACAATCTAAAAAGGGGGAAATACATAAATAAATAAATAAAGGAATACCTAACTATTACAAATTTGGCATTCAAGTGCCTTTCGAACGATAGATATACAAAGCTAAAGCCAATAAAGCAAATAAATAAATAAAGGAAATAAATAAATAAACATGCAATTAAACACGTAAAGTCACATACGGCACATATAGTCAAATAAAGTAAGACATGAGGGAAAGGGTGTACCTCCCTTGATTTGAAGCCCTAATGGAGTGAAATGACTTATTTACCCTCCAAAATAAAAGAAAAGGTCAAGGCACCACTTTAATTAACAAATAATCATAAAAAATAAAAATGAATTGTGAAATTGAATCAATCAACTCATATAAACAACCCACATTCAAGAAGTCAAAAGAATAAAAGACTAGATTGCAAACATTAACAAAGTTTTGGGGTCAAAATTTAAAAAAAAAAGTTTAGGGACCTATCTATAATTAAATTAGGGACCCAATTGAAAACATTGAAAGTTTATAGGGCCATAGTCAAATTAAAGAAAAGTTCAAGGACTGATTTGCAAATTTAATTACTAGATTCTTAGTCAGACAGACCATTGGGCCTTTGTATTTATTTGCGTGGGCCACAACCTTCCCTAGCCCAAACAAAAGGTCCAAACCAAGTCTAATTTTATTTAATAAAGTCCACCAAAATAAACCCAACTAAAACTTGCTAACCTCTGATTATGCATCAAACCCCAGCATTAATCTATCCAGAAAATCACATAAAATATGCAAACAGAGGATTAAGCTTAAGAGGGCAAAATTAGTTTGGTTTTTCCAGATTTTGAGCCACAATGAAATTAGACAGAAATTGAGGGATTAAATTGCAATTCTTTTGGAAAACCCAAACAAACTTACGAAGAACAGGTTTCTTCCTCACTTAGACAAAAGCTTCTGCAACTCAGCAATTCACAAACCCAACTCACAAACACAATCAAATCTAGCTTGAACTTGAACAAACAAAGCTACTACCTATACCTTTACTTTGCAACATGCAACCTCTAAATTTAAACCCAAAAGTCAGACAAAAAAGCATGCAAACATCAAAACAACATTCTGCAATTTTCCGGCTACAAGCCGAAAATGGTGATCATGCAAAGTAATGGGAATGAGTACGTAGTGATCTGTCCACCCAAACTCATGTGAATTCCAAATCCTCAACTTTATCATAATTCAAGCATAGTTGTCTATCACTAGTAATCCCAACAGAGAGTATCCAGGCAAGAAAACAAGAAGAACAGAAGATGCGAAACATCGATTCATCAGAATTTTCTCAAATGCAAAAAATTGAACTTGCTAACTTATTCAGTTTCTTCACACGCAAAAATGGAGACCAGTTATCTTTTAATTAGAACACTCAGTTGGGCATTTCATTGAACAGGTTGTAGGCATCAAAATCTTACCAGATTTCTGCTCAAATTGAAGCATGACTAACCCAGAAATTTGTCAAAAACCAAGGAAATTCAGTCCAATCAAACACACAAGGCACACTTATTCTAAAATCCATGAACGATCAACATAAAAAATGGAAATTACGAAATCACAGAAAACTCATTTTCAAATGTTGGACAGAAAACTAAAATTTTCAGAGAAAAAACTTACAGTGCTCTGACGATGAAGATCCATGGGCGATGATGGTGGGTTCTGGTGGTGGCAATGGCGGCTATGGTGGCAAAGGATGGGAAGTCGGCAGTGGGAGCAGAGTTAGGAGCGGCGCCATTGGAGAGATGAACGCCGGTGAGGGAGTATTGATTGTGCTGCTAGAGAAGGTCAGCTTCGTTTTCTTCGGAGTCGGATGCCCATGCGCCTGGTGGTCGTGCTATGATGGAGCTGGAGGCGCGCGACAGCAGCTTGCGCGCGATGGTGCCGATGGCAGACAGCAACAACGGCGGACGTGGACTGGTGGTGGCTTGGACAGACTTTCCTTGCGTTGTTTCTTCGCTGCCTTGCACCGTGGCTCCCTCAAAACTCTCGGGGAATTCTCCGATGAACTCTCTCAATCTTCCAGATTTCCCCCCTTTCTTCAATTTTCCCCTGGCCGCTATTTTCCCTTTTTCCAAACCTCTTGCTCACTCCTCTGATTTTCTCAAGCTCCGCCGCAACTCTGTTTCTCTGTTCTTCAGCAATCTCATCCAACAACCTTTCGTTCAGCTCCCTCTTTCCTTTGTTTTGCCGTGGTTTCTTTTTGCTTTTTCCTTTGCCCCCCCCGAAGACTCTCTTTTCTTCTTCCTCTGTTTTTTCTGTTTTGTCTCAATGCCTGATAGCTCCTCTCCCCTGTTTCTCCCAGCCGAAAAACCTCTCCATTTTTCCAGCTTCCCCCCTTCTTGTTCTCTTCTTTTCTTCCTTTTTCTTAATACAAGCTCTCAGCCTCTCTTTCATCGGCCCCCCTCCTCTTTTGGCTTGCGGCTCATTTTATTTTAAAGGCACCTCCAAAGACTAAACCTAACTTGAAAGGCCAAGATCTCAAACCCCAAAGTAGGCTTATGTGTCTTATTCCTGTCCCTTTGATTGACTTTTTCTTTTTCTTTCTTTTTTCTTTTTTTTTCTTTTTCAAAACCCTAGAATCGAAACAAACAAAATAAAATTAAATGATTAAATGATTAAAGTTTAATTAAATGATAAAAATAACTTAAAAATAAAAGACTAAAAGTAAATGAAATGAATCAAAAAATAAAAATACCAGTAAACAAAAATACCTTAAAAATTTGGTGTCTACAGTTTGCCCCTCTTTGTCTGAGCTTTGGAAAAACTTGAGACAAAAAAGTAGACACCAAATACTTACCTGTGTTATTCGGCCGCAAAATGATTCCAACGAACAGGAATTTAAAACGGGATTGACCCGAACAGGAATTTAAAAACGGGACTGACCCGAAAAGAAACAGAAAAACGGACTTTTAAAACGGGACTGACCCGAACAGGAAATTTTAAAACGGGACTGGCTCGAACAGGAAATTTAAAACGGGACTGACCCGAACAGGAATTTAAAACAGAACTGACCCGAACAGGAATTTAAAACGGGACTAACTCGAACAGGAAATTTTAAAACGGGACTGACCCAAACAGGAATTTAAAATGGGACTGACCCGAATAAAATTTAAAATCATGGAATGCACACTAATGGGACTGACCCATGTTTAGTGGCAATGAAAATAAAATGCCTTGACCATCGGTCAGTGGGATTAAACCCGAGCCTGTCAAGAAAATCAGAAATAGAAAGGCACGTTAGTGGGACGAACTCAATGCCAATGGAGATAAACTAAAAACAACAACACACACGTTAGTGAGATAGACTCGATGCTAACGGTGGTGGAATGAAAACGCACACGTTAGTAAGATAGACTCGATGCTAACGGTGATAGAATGAAAACGCACACGTTAGTGAGATAGACTCGATGCTAACGGTGGTGGAATAAAAATGCACACGTTAGTGAGATTGACTCGATGCTAACGATGGTGGAATAAAAATACACACGTCTGTGAGATTGACTCGATGCTAACGGTGGGGATAAAAACGCACACGTTAGTGAGATAGACTCGATGCTAACGGTGGGAATAAAAACGCAAACGTTAGTGAGATAGACTCGATGCTAACGGTGCTAACGGTGGGAATAAAAACGCAAACGTTAGTGAGATAGACTCGATGCTAACGGTGGGAATAAAACGCACATGTTAGTGAGATAGACTCGATGCTAACAGTGGTGGAATAAAAACGCACATGTTAGTGAGATTGACTCGATGCTAACGGTGGTAGAATAAAAACGCACACGTTAGTGAGATTGACTCGATGCTAACGGTGGGGGAATAAAAACGCACACGTTAGTGAGATAGACTCGATGCTAACGGTGGGGGAATAGAAAAACGTACACGTTAGTGAGATAGACTCGATGCTAACGGTGGCGGAATACAAACGCACACGTTAGTGAGATAGACTCGATGCTAACGGTGGGGGAATAGAAAAATGCACACGTTAGTGAGATAAAATCGATGCTAACGGTGGCGAAATCAATGAATTAAATGTGGTTGTCAAGAATGGGGAATGGAAGGGTGCGCGGCGGGCGCTGAGATTTCATCAACAAGAAATTGAAATTTGTCAAGGAACAAGAAATTAAATTCAAGTTTGATTTTTGAGAATCTTTTCAAAAATAATTTGCCCAAATTTCCACCAATTATTGTGCAACCGGTAAATTGATTTGCATTACGGTATGATTGCTCCTCCTTGAGGCCTTGATTCGTTAGATTCTAACTTACGCTTCTTCATCGATTTCAGCCATGAGTACCTGCACAGGGGGCTTGCCAAAGTACAACATGCACTTTATTTTAAAATATTGCAACTACTACTCATGGAAAGAGCAGTGTGATTGATTTGAAAGTCTTGCTTGACTTTTTGACGAAATCCTCAAATGGACTATAAAAAATTTGCCCCAGTGTGGGCCTATTTTGCGAAATCTTACAAATAAAAGAATTTGCCCCAGTGTGGGCCCATTTGATTGCAAAATTTTGTTTGAATGACGCTCCATTTGTTTGAACAAAGCAAGAAACTATGTTTCCTATACAATGTGAAGAAATCTAAGCGTCTTGTTTAAATTCATACAGAAAATTTCATGATGAATTTCTCAAAATAATACTAAATTACGAAAGATTTCTTTCCCACTTTAGCATCAATGCTTAGGGTAATGGGTCACCACTCCTTGTTAGCTTCTCTTTCAGGACCAATCGAGGGACCTTATTTCTGACTTTGAGGTGGCTAAGGAAAAATGAGAGGTTAGGATCTGTCTTATTTTTGTGCCCAAATTGTATGTAATCCATTCAATATCACATCTTAGTGAAAGCAAATAGTATGTCACCCCTATTTCTTAAGAAAATTTAGTCAACATATAACCTTTTTAGGCTTGTAATGTGTGGACAGAAACGATAGCTAAACATGTGGAAACAGGTTATAGTCTTAAGATCACAAATGGTTGATGGATTCCTCAGAAGCATAATCTTCACTTCAAGTTGTCATGAAGGATAAGTCAACGATGGACTTTCTGAGTTTTTAATGTGGCTTGAAAGCGATAGTTAAAGGAATAAAATTCTCAAGGACATTGCACTGAAAATCGCATTTTCCAAAATTACCCCTATTTCGAACTCAAAGATCTTAGATTTGGTAACTCTCACCATCACTTAACGGGGACTTTCAGCATCGAAAATTTTTTCATTCCCTTTGCATTCATTTCACTTGCCTTTTCTTTTCTTTTCAAAGGTGCCCTTGCGGATTTTCACATGATGAGCAGTGTCAATCTCATCTAATCAATTCAGAAATATATCTAAAAAATTTCTCGGCATCAGTACATAAGCATCACTTGCCAATTAGAAAATTTCTTGACAGAGAAATTGCAAAGAACAGAAGTCAGGGCTTTCGGCTTTTGTAATGGGGTCTGGTGGGGTGCTTAGAAAGGTTAAGGTTTGAAAGCGGATTTCAAAAGCGGTTTGAATGACCTGAGATCGCATTATTGCGCCAACCCTGTTTTAGGGTTAAATCAGTACTTGCCCCTGTTTATTCTCAATTGAGGCTCTTTTCTCTTTCATTTTTCTCTCTTTTCCTTTTTGGCCTTCTGTCATGCTTTTGAACTTTTCAAAATTTGCCCCAGTTCATATTCAACTGAGGTTCTCTTTTCTTCTTTTCCTTTTTTTGGCCTTTTGCCATTCTTTTGAAATTTTCAAAATTTGCCCCAGTTTAATCGAGGTTCTCTTTTCTTCTTTTGTCTTTTGATTTTGTTGCCTTATCACTTTTCACCTTTTGAGACTTTTCTTCTTTTTCAACTCAAACTTACCCCAGTGTGAGGTTTGCGATTCTCAGGGGTTGCCAAACGAAGTAATTTATTCTGAAGGCTCAAAAGGGATAACTAGGGATAGAATGTTTGATTGGAAAAGAAGAGGGCCTGACTTTTATTCCGTTCCTTACATTAACTCTGAAAGGAAACTTTCATTACTACGAAATTTTTTGCGTGCATCTGAATCAATTAACCGAGAATGACTTCCGTTCATCCATATCCGTGAAACATAGAGGATCCACCGGACAACTTTTCTTTCTTTTCTCTTTCTCTCTTTTCTTTTCTTCTCTTTTCTTTTTCAAAATTGAAGCCCAGATAGGATCAAATTTCTCCAATTTGTAGTTCTTTCGTTTCCTTTAATTTTAGCAATTTTTGCTTTTCTCTTTCTTTTGGAAAATTCTCCAATCTCCTTCCCCAATGTGGGGTGCGATCATAGGTGCTTTGAAAAGAACCACCGATATTAGGTCAAATGAGGATGCAAGGGGTAGAACAGTGTTTAGGTTGTAGAAACGATGGCCAAAGCATCATTCTTACACTTCATGACAACCAAAGTAACGAATTGCTCATTGAAAATCCATTTCCTTTTGATATTTGAAAATCTTCCGATGCAGGGTAATGATCATTAAGGCTCTCATTTGAAATGAAATTATTCTTTCAAAGGCTCAAATGGGAGAGCAAATGATAAAATCTGTATAGGTAGAGAAACGAACGCTCGAAGTATCATTCCAAATTTTCAAAATAAACAAGGATAATGCACATTTTTGCTTTCACTTAGATGTGAATTGAACATAATTAGACGCAATGGACATTTTTCAAGCAAAGATTACCCCAATTTGTAATTTATCAATCAATGTGACTGATTTTATTTTGGGGTTAAGTGAAAGAGAGAAGGTATCTCATTGGGCCTTTTGAGTGACCGCTCACCCTTTTTTTTCTTTTCTTTTTTTTTTTAACTC